TGGGAATGGAAAAAGAAAAAAAAGGAAAGATAATGAAAGCAAATCTTGAAAGTCATGTTGTAGTTAAGAGATTTGTGAAATTTTATTAAAGAAATTAAAAAGAAAAGAATAAATAAAATAAAAGGAATATTTGAATTGTGTTGTTTAATTCAAAGAATATATTATTGTTTGTGTTGACAAATGAATGTAGTTGAACAACTGTCTTTTCTGTCATTTACTGTGAGGGAGGGAGGGTGAAATTGAGGAGGATAAAGGGGAAATAGGGACATGGTGGGCCTTTTTGGGTCACTTTAAAATATATATATATATATATATATATATATATATATTTATTTAAAATATTATAGCGTATTTACCCGATGGGAATTCGAACTCTTGATCTTTTCGGAATAGAAGTTTTAGTCGTTCAAGTATGCTTAAATTATCGTACGAGGAGGAATCTTTTTCATTATCAATATTTATGATTTTTTTAAAAAATAATTCACAAATATATCTTCAATAATTTAAAATCAATATATATATATATATATATAATGACTAATTTAAAGATTTATTGATAAATTAAAATTGAATGAATTTGTTAATACGAGCATAGTTCAATTGACATAAACCAAGACATCTCAATCATCAGATATGAACTTTAAGAAATGTTGTGGTTATGATGTTTTATATTAGTTGGGGAGGAGAACAAACTATCGTTTATAAGGGTGTGGAAACCTTCCCCTAGCAGACGTGTTTAAAGCCTTGAGGGAAAGCTCGAAAGGAAAAGTCCAAAAAAGACAATGTATGCTAGCGGTGGATCTGGGTTGACATGATCGATCTTAATTCAATTTGAAAGTAATTGCGAGATTAAAGTGTAAATTAAAAAAAATAATAATAGAAAGGGAAAGAATGATGGGAAAAAATCACATGGGAAAACAAAAAAGAAAGCAAAAATGTGGAGGAGAAGGGGGTGAGACTGCTGACAAAATTGGTGTGGTGTCATGATGTATCATACTTTTTCCTCGGTTTAATACCACACTTTTGTGTACATTTCTAAAGTCTCATTATTGCACTCCACCATTCCATCTTTTCCCTTTTTAAAATCCTTTTTTTTTTCCATGAACTTCCGTATACCTCGAGAACTCGACCAATTCGAATAACCCATCTTGAAATACATTTTTTTTACGATCTGGGTTGAGTTGAATTTCTCGAAAAATCGAATAATCTAAGTCAATTTACAAAATCAAAAAAATAGAGTTACAACCTAATTCTAAAAATTTAAAATATTTCACGTTTGTAACTGATGTGTTATGTCCCGTAAATATTTGAAATTTTAGCAACCAACCCAAAAATACAGGATTGAGTAGGATTGGACAGTGAACTTTATTTGGGTTGCTTGAGACAGTGAACCAACCCAAAGAATAGTATATCATAGAGGGTCGTGTTCAACTAACAGGGTCAACCCAATTAATTTGAAATTTAAGGTCGGTCTAATTTCGGGTATGGGGAGTTTAGTTGGTTGAAAAATGAAAGTAAAAAGGAAGAAAGCTATAATTGTTGTAAGGGTAGAATATATAGGGAGAGAATATAGACAAGAAAGATGAATTCAAATGAAAGAAGCCTACAAAGAGCATCACTATGCATAAGGCCACATTTTTTAAAATTTTTAGAAATTACACAGAGAAGAGAGAAGAGAGTGAAAACAGGACAAAGGAACAAAACAGTACTCCTTTTGGTTGTTTCATTGGGTTACAAACTTACAAACAAATGCAAACGAAGGGGCTTTTGAATATCATTCTCTCTTGTCATTTTCACAAGAACAGACCCACAGCAGTCCGCACCATTCCCACACAGACACGGCGGAAGAGGAGAGAGAGAGAGACCTGGAGTTGAACAGTCCCCATGTTCTCTCACTCTTTGCAAAAATGGGGTCCCAATCTTTCGAATAATCATCATTACAAAAAACAACTCCCCCTCTTCTTTTAATACCGTTCCCACTTCTTCTTCCCCCCCCATTCCCCACTTTCTCTCATTTTCTTGATTTCTTCCTCTCGCCTCGCCATGTCTGCAATCATCCCCTTTGTTTTTCTGCTTTTCTTCCACTTTCTTCCTAAATCTGAGCCTTCCCCTTATCTTCTAGACAAGATTTCTTCGTTGCCTGGTCAACCCCTCGTTGGATTTCGACATTACTCTGGGTATGTCAATGTGGGTGACCGTAATCAGAAGGCTCTGTTTTATTATTTTGCTGAAGCTCAAATCAACTCTGCTTCTAGGCCGCTTGTTCTTTGGCTTAATGGAGGTATTTCCCTTTTAAATTTTCTGGGATTTGGGTTTCTTTTTTGTTCGTTTGTGTGAATTGGGTTTCGATGTGTTCTTTACAGGTCCCGGGTGTTCTTCTTTGGGGGTTGGAGCATTCTCTGAAAATGGACCGTTTCGGCCTAAAGGGGAGGTTCTAATCAGGAATGAACACAGTTGGAATACAGGTTTGGATTATAATGCCTGCTAGGTGTTTGATGAAATGCGTTGGGTTTGTATTTGAAGATTTTGTGGGTGTGGGTGTTGGTGTTGGTGTTGATGGGTTGTTTTCTTGGTTTGTTTCTTTGATTGTTTTGATCTTTAGAAGCGAATATGTTGTATTTGGAGACGCCAGTGGGAGTTGGATTTTCGTATTCAACTGATACTTCTTCGTATGAGGCAGTGGGAGACAAAATCACAGGTGGGTATATGTGAATCATGAAGTTGTTTTCATCTTTTGTTCTGCAATTTTGTTTTTTGTAAAGTGAGATCATGATGGTTTCCACATTGTTGAAAATAACTTCCTACCCATTAAGAAAAGAGCACTGCTTATGGTCAACTTCTCCTCTTCCTAATTGCTCTGTCCCTTTCTTCTTTTGTTCGACAGTAAGTGGAAAATGCCTCCTTGCCTTTTCTGCCTTTTCTTTTCCTTCTTTTTTTTTTTAGCTGCAGTCTTGAGTGATGCCATTTTCAGCGTCTGTTCATAGTAGGAGAACGGCAATAACAAAAATTACCGTAGTGACTTTCATTCTTAGTGCTTTGTAAAGGAGCTATAAAGACAAGGATTTGATAAGTTTTGGAGTGTATCTATCCAAATGGAAAGTTTAAGGCTAGTGGGAGGTGGGATTTGTAATGTTTCTTTAAAAGAAAAAGGAGAAAAGCTACCTTTCTTTAATATATTTTTGTCTCTAAGTGGCGGAGGGGTGATGTTTATGTTTGATATATCTGCAGCAAGGGACAATCTGGAGTTCTTGGAGAAATGGTTTGTCAGATTCCCACATTACAGAAACAGAAGCTTGTTCATTACAGGAGAAAGCTATGCTGGTATGGTACCATTTCTCAAGATTACACCTTCCATGAATATGAAAGAAAGAAAAAAAAGCAGACCCATAATCACTTTCTTGATTTTTTGTAGGTCATTATGTACCCCAACTGGCTGAGCTCATGCTCCAATCTAACAAAACCTCATTCAACCTCAGAGGCATTGCTGTGAGTAAAAGAGAATTCAAACACTATTGATATCAAATGAGCTCAAATACATGAGATCTGTTCTAAAATCGCTTCATTTGCAGATTGGAAATCCCGTTCTAGATTTTGCTACTGACTTCAACTCGAGGGCTGAGTTTCTTTGGTCGCATGGATTAATATCGGATTCAACGTTTAAAATGTTCACATCGATGTGCAACTACTCTCGGTATGTGGGTGAGTACTACAGGGGGTCTGTTTCACCCATTTGCTCAAGGGTGATGAGCCAAGTGAGCAAAGAAACCAGTAGATTTGTTGACAAGTACGACGTTACTCTTGATGTATGCATATCGTCTGTGTTCTCTCAGTCCAAAATCCTCAACCCTCAAGTGAGTAGTGAACCAGTTAATTCACTTCTCATTCCCTTTCTCAGAATCTCACAATTCGTCAACTCCAATTTCTCTTGTCCTGTGTAGCAAGTAACTGAGTCGGTCGATGTCTGCGTGGAGGACGAAACAGTTAACTATCTCAATAGGAAAGATGTCCACAAGGCTCTTCGTGCGCGCCTCGTGGGAGTGCGACAATGGGCTGTTTGCAGCAGGTACAAACTTCTTCATACTACTAGCAATATTCAAAACCGAAAAGCTTGATGTTCTTTCAGATTGACAGTTTTCTTTTGCTATTGATAGCGTTCTGGATTACAAACTGCTGGACCTAGAGATACCGACTATTAACATCGTGGGGAAACTGGTCAAAGCAGGAATTCAAGTGTTGGTCTATAGGTAAGTGAAACGCCTATTGTGTTCACATCATAACACTCTTCAATCCTAAAGCTGTTTAAACTGATTACATCAATTTTGAATTTGCAGTGGAGATCAAGATTCCGTCATTCCACTCACAGGAAGTAGAACTCTTGTTCACAAACTTGCAAAAGAGTTGGGTCTAGAAACAACCGTACCTTACCGTGTCTGGTTCGAGGGACAGCAGGTCCATCTTGATGCCTATCAACCCCAGTAATTGTTTCACAGAAATCTCTTGTTGGGTTTGACACTAAAATTTGGATGGTTTTTGCTCTTCAGGTTGGTGGGTGGACTCAAGTTTACGGCAATATTCTTTCCTTTGCCACAATCAGAGGGGCATCACATGAAGCACCATTTTCACAACCTGAAAGATCACTGGTGTTGTTCAAGTCATTTTTACAAAGTCAGCCTCTTCCTGAAGCTTTCTGATCGATAAGTCGGGTGGAGTTTGTGATTGAGAGAACGGAGTTTGATTGCTAAACCCTAATAATCTGAGAGTAAAGATTTCTTTCCCATGTTTACCCTTCATTGTCATCAACAAAGCTGTGGAATGGAAGGTTTTTGTAAAGGTCACCAGTAAAAAGGAGAAAATCATATTGAAAAAGAGGGGGGAACAGAGCTCTTTTTGTCATCTTTCATGAATTTTGTAAATTCTACATCTTAGAAGTCATCTTATTGTGAAAGCTCAGTTCAGACAAAATGAGAATCTGTTGAAACTTTGGGAGAAGAGAGTTCTGCCAAAGAATTTTCAAAATATTTGAACTGTGAATAGAATGGGATGGAATGTGTTCGTTCATGGTGTTCTAAGAGAGTGTTTAAAATATTGAGAAACAACAGTGGGAGCTTGGACTTGCATTTCCATGCAGCTAAACTCTAAAGCCAGGATGGGCTTTGATAACAGTACAGTTGTGCTGAGGCTTTGTTCATGTTCATGTTGTTCATCTTCTCCAGCTTGTTCGATTGCGACCGCTGCTGGCTTTACTGCTCGCACCCTAAATGAAAATGATATTCGAGTACTCGAATTCAAATAAACCCACCACCAAACGAACCAAATAGTTAAACATCAGAAGACAGGAACACAAACCGGCATTGAATTTGGCAGGAATATTTGAGTAGTTCAGGAGTATTTTCTGTGTGCCCACTGATATTTTAGAACAATGAAACTGTCGTAAGCCTTGAAGTGTGAATTTGGCAAACACAAACATTTGTAAACTGGTAGATACATTACCTGTAACTTGGGAGAGACATTCTGATAGCTGGCCCCATCCATTTGCTTAAAGGATCTGCTAACATCAACTTGTTATCAGAAACATAAGGGACATTCTATTTGAACAGAACAATCCAAGTACGAGTACTACACTACTCCTTGAATATTGGAACCAGGAAAAGAAAAGTTCATAAACGACTGAGAAAGACTCGACAGTCCACCCGTACGCATGAACGTGTCCGCAGTGGGGCCGATGCTACTAGTTGGTCGAAAGAAGTATATATTTCGGGGACAAAGAGAGTTAAGCTAGTAGAATAATTTTGTGGAAAGTTTCCGACCCCATGAATGTCTCCATCAGATGATAAGAACATGAAGTCAATGCAGAAGAAATGTGAGGAACACATCAAAGATATGATGGCATTGGTGAACAGTGGATGAGATGAGCAGGACCATTTTTCTCTTTCAAAAGAAGTATAAAGCAACAGGGGTGCGCTGAACCGCCGACGAATAATAGGGGTTAGGGATCACATATCTCCGGAGTGGTATGATCTTATCCATTTTGAGCATAAGCTCTTATGGCTTTGCTTTGAGCTTCCTCAATATGTCTCATACCAATGGAGATGTATTCTTTACTTATAAACTCATGATCATTCCCTAAATTAGCCAACTCCCTCTCAACAATCCTCCCCTCGAACAAAGTACACTATAGAGCCTCCCTTGATGCCTATGGAGCACTCGAACAACTTCCCCTTAATCAAGGCTCAACTCCTTCTCTAGAGTCCTCGAACAAAGTACATCCTTTGTTCGACATTTGGTTCACTTTTGACTACACCTTCGAGGCTCACAGCTTCTTTGTTCGACATTTAAGGATTCTATTGACATAGCTAAGTTAAGGGCATGACTTTGATACCAAGAGGCCTCATATCAATGGAGATCTATTCCTTACTTATAAACTCAGGATTGTTCCCTAACTTAGCCAACTCCCTCCCAACAATCCTCAACAATAGGTACCCCACCCCAAACAAAGTTAGTGAGCCGTGTAATAGGTGACCATTTCGTGCGGTTCGGGGTGCACTTGAGTCAGCTGTTGACGCCTGACTGCATCTTGACCCTTATCCAATTTTTGGGTCAATTCCCCCTTCGTACTACCGCTCTTCGATCAACACAGGATCGGGTCTTAGAGGTCATGTTTCTAATCCAAAAGGTCGCTTCTAGGCCATCCGTCGGAATCAAATTCAGGTCGCAGTAGAGGAGCATAGCAGCCATTCCCGGGCCTAGCAGGAGATTCGAGAAAAGATAGAATAGGAAGACGTGCGTGTTGTGGATGAGATGAGCAGGACTATTTTTCTCTTTCAAAAGAAGTATAAGGCAATATTGATTCCATAATTAGCAGCTCACCAGAAATTGAAAGGTTGATATTGCAGACATCTATTGAAGTAGGATTCTTCACTTCAGTCACTTGAACATGCTCCTGATTCTTCTGGTTGCAGAAATCACTACTTCCACGAAAGGAGTTGAGAAGTCCTCTTTCACCCCGATGCTTCGGAACTGCCTCGGTCCTCTGTTTTCATGATAGAAACCATTTCCATTCAATACATTACGAGTCGATATTGCTCATTGGCTGTTGCAGTGTGTTAAAGTTTGGAGGTCGGATGATAACATGGAACAAACATGTATCCATGAATTCCATATTGAAAAACCATAAGATACAGAACTGTAGCTTACTTTTGTAAACCTTGCAACCTGACTTGGAAGCCCCACTTCCTGCAAGAGAGAGAGAATGCAATTGAAACATCATCCATTACCAAAGATCAAAATGGATACTAAACTCATAGGACACTCAAACTCCAACAGGGAATGGATTGAATTTCATTGAAGGAAGACCTAAATGAAAGAGAATGGACACTATGCTGATGGTGCTGGACTGCTTAACCAAGTTGCCCACCGCTTTGCTATCAAGATCCTCTTCTAGGGGCTGGGTTATCAGTTAGATCCCACCTTGGCAAGTTAGAACTAAGACAATTAAGGTCCTGTGTGGAATGTGACTAATTGCTTAAAAACACTTGTTTAAATCACTCAATATGGGTACTCAATTTCACATATCACCTAAATCTAATAGCCCAATCTCACTCCTAGCAGATATTGCCCTCTTCAGATTTTTCCCGCAAAGTTTTAAAACGCGTCTACTAAGCAGTCATTTTCACACTCTTGTAAAAAATGTTTCGTTCTCTTCCCCAATCGATGTGGGATCTCACAATCCACCCCCCTTCAGGGCCTAGCGTCCTTACTGGCACTCGTTCTCTCTCCAATCGATATGGAACCCCTTAATTCACCTCATTCGAGTTTCTGCGTCCTTGCTAACACACTGCTTGGTGTCCACGCCACCTTCAGGGCTCAACTTCCTCGCTAGCACATCACTCGGTGTCAAGTTCTAATACCATTGTAACAACTCAAGTCCACCGCAATCAGATATTGTCCTCTTTGGGCTTTCCCTTCTGGACTTTCCCTCGAGGTTTTGAAACATGTCTGCTAGGGAGAGGTTTCTACATTCTTATAAAGAATGTTTCATTCTTCTCCCCAACCAATTTGAGATCTCACGTACGAGATGTTACAGTAGGAGAGGGTTGGAACACTGAGAAAAGGAGTGTCTTGGGTGAAGCAATACATTATAAGTACCCTTTCTAATGGGCTCTGATATATGCCCTCCCTTCATATTATACGAGTAAAGAAAACCAGAAAATTCAGTCATAGAAGAGTCCTACAACACAGATTCATAGTCTTCAAACAAGTTCACAAACAACCATACAAATCAAGCCTCAGAAATCAACAACAATCCTTCAAATCCCATACCTTTCGTCCATGATCACAAGCTTCATCACTGTTCACTAGAACCTTAGCTGCCCATCTGCTTTCAGAAAAACAAAACCAGGTAAGCCTCAACAATCTAGCCATCTCTTTCAAAAAGGGTAATAGAAAAGCATACGCGCAGGATGTTGGACGATTCCAAACAATTCCAGCAATTACCACAAGCTGCCATATCAAAATCAACCAAAACATGGGTTCATCACCAAATCTCCATTGTTTAGCTTCAAAGACAAAAAAAAAAAGGGAGCCAAAATCCATACCTCATCAAAACTTCCTGCTGGACTATCATCATAGTTCGCAAGAAAAAACCCACCAAGAGTATAACTGGAGAGGCAGAAACAGAGCAACAACAACCCTTTTAAATATTCATTGAACCAAAAAACACCCATTAATCAGTATAATCCACAGCGATTAAACTAATCTCAGTGATTAAACAATACCCAAATGCTTCAACGAGTCTCAACTCCTTTGGAATACACTTTCGAGCAGTTTTAGCCTTAACAAGATGCAGTTGATACAGAGCCCTGAACAATGGGAAGTGTCAAATCAGAGAAATGGAAAGCAATGAAGACAAAAAAGTAAACGGAGCTCTTCAATAACCTTCCTCTGAATGTCCATGGCGGCCTGCCGTAACCCGTTGAGCGTTTCTTCTCTCCATTTTCCATGGAGGTCTTTTCGGCGTGTTCGTTGGAAGAGGAAGAGGGGGAATGGATATCCAATTTGAAGGATAAGATGTCGAGGTGGCAATGGATGGCGGATTTCAATGAAAAAAGGTGATACACGTGGCAGCATTTTGAGCAACATGGTTGTCCAACTCAGCACACCCTTCGTTTTCTACCCCAACTTTTTGGCAGTTTTTTCAACACAATTCTATAATTATATATCGTTAAAGTCATCATTTGATCCATATTACCATGTATAGTTAAAAACAAAACTTGTTTATTTTCCTTTTTATCTTAATGGAATTAGTTTTTATTTACTTAAAATTAATAAATAATAAAATACGATCAACTTTTCAATTTATTTTTTTTAAATATTCTTCTAAAATTAAAGAAAGTTTGAAATTATATTTCATCAAAAATGTTATTTTTAATAATACTTTTATTTTTTTTAATTTAAAAAATATTCTTAATTAAAAAATAACTGTTAATAACATAATACACGTGAACTATTAAAAAAATATTAATATCTTTGAACTTTCTTTAAAATCTTTTTTATCATTAATATCATTAAAAAAAATATCTTTTTGAAGATAAATTTAAAGAAATTAACGTTTTTTAATGTAAATAAATCATTTATTTGTTCATATACATATTTTTCAAACTTAAAAAAAAGTTTAAATGTATATTAATCATAGTTGGGTATAATATATGTATACATAATATAATTATTTAATAAATAAAAATTGATTAATTAATTTATATAGACATAAGTTGTCATATGTTACATTTTTAATTAAAAGGTTTAATCAATTAATATATATATAGACAACGTGTAATATATGTTCTAACAAATTGATTAATTAAAATTTTTAATTAATAGATAAATATATATAAAAACACAACTTGTCATGGATTCAGTTCAAATTTAATAAATGAAATTGATTAATTAAAAATTTTAATTAATTAATTTGGTAGGAATCGTGGTACTTAATTAATTTATTTAAAAGAAAATTTTAAAATACCTAAATCTATATTAAATATATTTGATATATTTAGTGTAAATAAAATATATATATTTAATTTAAATGGTTCAAGTTAATATTTAATATATATATAGAGTCTCTAAACTTTTAAATTACAAGTTTAGAATTTAAAATTTTTAAATTTTTATCTATTCCGTCTATGAAATTAAGAAGTATTTAATAAATTTTTGATATATCAAATATTATGTCTATATATGAGATCGCACATTGGTTGAAGAGACAAACGAAATATTATTTATAAGAACAACCTCTATATAACAGTCACGTTTTAAAACTGTGTGTTTGACGGTAATACGTAATGAGTTAAAACAGACAATATTTACTAGTGGAGGCTCGGGTTGGAAACAACTCATTTCATTTAATTGGAATGATTGATATTAGTAGCGAGGAGTTGGCTCATGTGCGTGCGTGTGTTGTATGACTTTTCCATCTTACATAGCTTGCATGATAGATTTTTGGAAACCAATGAGACAAAATTGGTTAGTTGTAGCTATTATAATTAATTAATATTTTTGTTCTTTATGTTATCGCGTCGAGTCAATAGATGATAAAATCTGACTATAATTGTTATGAAATTCTTGGGATCTGATTTAACAACCTTACTGAAGAACAAGACGTTTAGATCTAAATTTTTCAAGAACTCAAAAAATGATTAAAAAAAAAATTGTAAAGAAAACTCGTGATTTGAATCATTTCATAAGATAATTTTATCAAAACCATATAAAGAATGTTCTTACTCAAGCAACAACATGAATGTTAGAGTTAACCGTGGCTGTTTTGTTTTTACAATTTTACAAAATTTCATTCAACTACGAGAGATTAGTTGACTTGTTCCCTTGAAGTTTGACTTGGTTTCACAATTTTTATAAGTTAGAACAAGAGGCTCGATATTATTTTGATAGGCCTCGACAGCTTGTACCGTTGGCCGACATTTATTAGGTATACTTTAACGTCATATGCACTCGTCTCCCTCACTACCCATTCTTTTGTTTTTATATGTCACATGTGAGGACCTTTGTAACTACCCTTCTCTCTTTGATCTCCCATTTTTCTCGAGATCTCACATCGGTTGGAGAGGAGAACGAAACATTTCTTATAAAGGTGTGGAAACTTCTCTCTAGTAAAACGCATTTTAAAATTATGAGACTGATGACAATACGTAACAGACTAAAGCGGACAATACTTGCTAGCAGTAGACTTGTGCTGTTACAAATTATATCAAAACTAGACACTGGCCCCCAACGGGGGTGAATTGTGAGATCCCACATTGGTTGAAGAGGGAAACGACACATTCTTTATAAGAGCATGAAACCTCACGTGTTCTTTGAGGGTGACAGCGATACATAACGGGCCAAAGCAAACAATATTTGCTAACGATGGATTTGGACAGTTACACATTACTTGTAAGTCTCAACTGGGCCTTATGATTTCCTCTTCACACAAATGAATATGTAATCTACGAAGCAATTACATAGAAATACATCTTAGGCAACACCTCGTTCATAAACTTACATCAATCTTTCGAACATCGCAAATTCCAAGCTTGTCGACGAAAAAGCTTAAAAGTTGACCTTATTAGAGAAAGAAGCACGAAACTCTAGTGCTAGAATAATATACCAGGTTAGGGGTTGAAAAGTTATTTGTTGTCTACTTCACGAACCTTTACAATCCCGTTCTATAACTTCCTTTCTTTCGTCCATCCCGAGGCTATAAAAAGAGAGAACGGGAAGGCTATTTAGTAGGAATCGTTTCGGTTTCGGTTTCGTCAAACAATCATACTCTCAAAATGGAATTTCCTTTGCACAAAAGCTTCATCTTTACATCATTAACAGACAGATCACACCACTTTACAGTAATAAGCTACTTGAAGTGTTCAGAAACTGTGCAATTGGGTTAGCATGTGTACCAACTCATCACTGGAAGGCCTGTCTGCTGGCTGATCTGATAAGCACACAACAGCTATCTTCACAGCCATTATCATTTCATCTTCTTCCCCTTCTTCCCCTATGATGTTCTTATCCAGAGCTTCTCGAGCCTCCCCGGCGAGCTGCAAGTGTCGTAGCCACTGACCTAAGCTTCCTCCGCTTGCTGCTTCTCCGAAGAACGGATCTGTCGGATCTCTACCTGTTAGTAGAACAGCCAAAATCATCCCAAAGCTGAAGATGTCACTCTTGTCGGTATACCTGTTAAAACTAGAAACAGCAAACGTGGAATTGGATTACGACTACTTCTCGAGGCAAATGCTCGACGATATCCCGACTTATGTATCGACATCGACATGTTATTGGTTCATTATGGTTTAAACCATTTTCTTTCTTAAGAAAATATATACAAAACTAAATACAGAATAAGCTTTTGAGTTCAAAGTCATTTAGCCCGTCTCAGGATTGAACTCCTATCATTTAGTGTAACAGCCCAAGTCCACCGCCAATAGATATTGTCCTCTTTGGACTTTCCCTTTCGGACTTCCTTTCAAAGTTTTTAAAATGTGTCTACCAGAGAAAGGTTTCCACACCCTTATAAGAAATGCTTTGTTCCCCTCTCCAACTGACGTGGATCTCACAATCCACCCCCTTGGGGGCCAACATCCTCACTGGTACATCACCTAGTGTCTACCTCTAGTACCATTTGTAATATCTCAAACCCACAGCCAACATTATGCTTGGGCTGTTACAAATGGTATCAAAGCTCGACATCGGCTGATGTGCCACAAGCACGTTGAGCCCCAAAGGAGGGTGGATTGTGAGATCCCACGTTGGTTGGAGAAGGGAATGAACCATTGCTTATAAGGGTGTAGAAACCTCTCCCTAGCATACGCATTTTAAAAACCTTGTGGGGAAGCTCGAAAGAAAAAACAAAAAGAGAACAATTTCTACTAGCGGTGGGCTTAGCTCAAGCACCAGAAGATATCCCAACTGCTAAGCTCATTTTTCTTACTAAGAACAGATCAAATATCTCAACTTAAACCCTTTGGATTCAATACTACTTGGACTTAGTATCAAAACAGGACGTTCAATGCTCAAATTTCTACAACATCATCACAAGATTTAGCAGCAGTTCAACGTTTTCAACATCTAAGTATCAAAAGACATGAACAAAACGACATCGAAACCAAATGGTTATCAAACGTATAGGTTGGTTATAGAATCCAAACCTGCAGTCCTGTAAGCACTCAGGGGAGGCATAGGCAGAGGTAGCAGCCATGTCCAAGTTAGAGAACAACTTAAACAAGCCACAATCAGCTAGCCTTGGCTCAAACTCAGCATCCAACATGACATTCGAAGGCTTCAAATTATAGTGAAGAATCTGAGGATCACACTCAAAATGAAGATACTGAAGACCCTTTATAATCCCAACAGCAATCCCAAGCCTTGCTTCCCACGCCAACCTCACCTCACTCCCCCTCGCTCTGTTCATCACATCCTCAAGGCTCCCTGTTCCCACATAATCATAAACCAACCACATCCCTTCCCCGTCCCCAACATAAGCTCTTAAGCTCATCAGATTCCTATGCCTCAGCTTGGCCAGCCTCTCAAGCTGTTGCTGCGTCCGCCTCTTCTCTGACTTCCTCGCCGCCGCAGCTGCCGTGTTCTCGAACCCTTCTAGCCGCTTCACGGCGATGGTTAACCCATTGTCCAGAACGGTTCTGTAGTACTTCCCATGAGGGTTGGAACCCAGAAGCTGATTTTCGTTTTTGAGGGCATGGTGGAGGGTTTTGGGGTCGATTATGGGGGAAAATATCACGGGGCCTTTCAGAATTGGGGTTTTGTTTAGGTATCGAACGAAGCTGCGGATTAAACAAGCGAAAAGAATCGAACCCATTAACCCTGTAACTAACCCCAACAGCACACTGAAAATGATTCTTCGGACGCCATTTTTTAACCGTGGAGAGTTTGTTGGTAATGGCGGTCCCGAAGAGGCGAGGTGTTGGCTTGTTCTTTCCTGACATTTAGCGTCGGAGAAATAGTGCAAGGAGAACATGAATAGCAGTATAATCACAACCTTAACGCTATGTCTTTTCTTCCCCATTCGAAGAACAAAATTCGAAACAGGGCTTCATTCAATTCCTACAAATTTTGCGATTAAAATTTATCAGCCCCGTTTGAGAAATATTCGAATCTCGAAGCTAGAAGAAGAAGAAGCTATTGAAGAAATTCCTCAAGTGGAAGGATGCGTGGCCATGGATTCATTGGAGGAGGTTTCAGTGGGGGAAATCTTCAGTGGGAAGACGCAAAAGAATCACAAATGGGAAGCAACAACTAACTAAAGAATTTGGTTCGTAATGGGAATGAGAGACCATTCAAATGAGAATCCGCTACTCCTCGCCATTGAATAAACAACACTCACACTTTTCCAAAGCTTTTTTCAACTACAAAAGCGAGAGATACAGAGAGCAAAACAACGAACAGGAGGGAAAATATGGTAAAAATTGGAGGGTTTCAGATACCCATATGGAAAAATGGAGTCCAAAGCTCCATTAACACAGACAAACGAACACAAAAACCAGCCCGACAAGTAGTTCCCTACGATCGAAAAGAAAAAAATTGTAATGTTTTGAAAGAAATTCAAAGAAACATGGATTGGATATGCATACCCAATGAAGGGAAACAGTCAAAAACAGAGAGAGCGCCCAAAAACAAAAGGGTTGTATGAGACAGAGAGCGAAAGTTGAGAGTGCAACTGCTAGGGCGAAGGGAAGGACCCCATCAGCAGCAGTCCTCGGAGACAGAACAGAACAGAGCACCCCTTCCCGCCTTTTGAGAGATGTTCAGTGGGCCCATATCCATTTGGATCTCCTCCGTTGGTTTCTGTCTGCAACACATCCTGACCGTTCGTTTCCCAACCCTTTGGAGTTTGCGCTTTGCTCATCTCACTATATAATTACGCATTGCTTTTTTCTTTATATTTTTTTTTCTTTACTCCAATAATTGTTCTTTCTTTTTTCTATTTTTATTGCAATTATAGATAATTATTATACAATTCCTTTTTTCCTTTTTATTATTTTATTTATCTTATCCTCCTTTTTCCTTTTTAATTTTTTTTCTTACCTCGAACCAATGGTAGATCGACAAGTGGCCAACAGAACCAAGGACTACAATATTTAAATATTTACTACAAAATGAAAAATAATTTTCACCGAAAAAATAATGGAATTTGTTGGATTGGGCCCAGACAGGCCCATATGGCATCTGGACCCATGCTTTCCGAAAAGCCCATAACTATGTAACAGCAATAATAATATAAGAAGAGATTAATAATGATAATATTAAAAGTAAAAATAATAATAATAATAATAATTAAAAAAAAATGTACAAATACACAAATGCCCTAGAGATTAATAATAATTATCAAAAGCTTCACCAAGAAATGGAAGCAAACGGAAAATAAAATCAAAGAAGAAACAAAAGGGAGAGCCCCTTGGCTAGGCTCGGCTCGGCTCGGCTCGTCTTCAAGTTCAAGCTGTTGCTATTCACTCAGACAACAGCCAAACTGGGCCATTTTACAATAATACAACTCTGTTGGACTAACTTGCAAAGATTGCCCAAGGGGGCAGGCAAGCTATATATAACCTACCACTCTCTTTAACCTTCTCAAGAACACTCTTGCCACTTCACTTCCCACTGGATTCCTTAAAAAAACAAAAAAAAAAACCAAAAAAAAAAACCAAAAAAAAACAGCCACCACCTCTCCAAAGCATATAAATACAGATCTATCTTACAAATTCCATGATCTTATATTCCTTCTTCCTCCTTTTTCAGGAATTTCACCACAACAATGTCATCCATTTGCATCAGCCAGTATAGCAAGAACCTCAATATCATTAAGTTTTAGCTCTACTGCCAACTCGAGAGGAGTTTTACCGTCTCCGTTCACTGCCCGTGGATCGGCTCCCCTGTAACGTTTTCAACCATTATGGTGCGAAGTAAGTAAATCAAAGGAGTGGAAATATTTAAGGTAAGGAATCACTATCTAACCTGGAAAGAACCAATTTTGCAAACCCAGTTTTGCCTTTAACGATACAATGATGGAGTGCCGATTGATGTCGAGAGTCGATGGCATTAACGTTTGCACCGCATTGTAAAAGGAGCTCGAGCATACCAATGTCTCCAGTTTCGCAAGCGAGGTGCAGGAGTGTGCAGCCTTCTAGATCCTCCATTGGCTGCCCATCTCCACCTGTGCCTCCCAAGTTGGAAGAGCTCGTAGATCTTTCAACGAAATCACTGGCTTTGTAATTATGTTGTTCGAGGCCAGTCGACTCCTGCAGTAACATTACTTTAGCAAGAGTCGAAGAGCTACAAGGCAGTTGCGTGTACACTGCATTTACATCTGCTTCCGAGTTTATAATGAGACGATAAACGGCTTTCTTGTCGTTCGAGTGTACACTGTCCCATATCTGTTGCATGACTAAATGAGGATATTGATTTTCCTTTGGTTTCCGAACGAAAGCCTTTTCGGCATACTGCCATCCGAAGAAAAGTAACAAACATGAGTACATTTAACTTCAAAACCCAAAGAAGTATCAATACAAGTGATGTAATAAAAGCATTGCAATTGCAATCAAGAACAAGGAGATGTTAACATAAATAAGAAGATTATTGTTGATGAAGAAAAAGATGACTGAACTGATATTGAAATACTACGGCCATTCATAAGTTGTGAGATCCCACATCGGTTAGGGAGGAGAACGAAGCATTCTTTATAGGAGTGTGGAAACCTCTCCCTAGCATACGCATTTTAAAAACTTTGAGGGAAGCTCGAAAGGGAAAGCCCAAAGAGGACAATATCTGCTAGCGGTGGAATTGGACAGTTACGAATGGTATTAGAGCCAAACACCGGGCGATTTGACAGTGAGGAGACTGAGCCCTAAAGGGAGGTGGACACAAGACGGTGTGCTAGTAAGGACGCTTGGCCCCGTAGGGGGGCGAACTGTGAGATCCCACATTAGTTGGGGGAGGAGAACAAAGCATTCTTATAAGAGTGTGGAGACCGCTCCCTAGCAGACGCGTTTTAAAATCTTGAAGAAAAGCCCAAAGAGGACAATATCTGCTAGCGGTGGGTTTGGGCTGTTACAAATGGTATCAGAGCCAAACACTGAGCGATGTGCCAGCAAGGAGACTGAACCCCAAAGGGAGGTGGACACGAGGTGGTGTGCTTAGTAAGGAGGACGCTTGGCCCAATAGGGGGGTGGTTTGTGAAATCCCACATTGGTTGGGGAGAAGAACAAAGTATTCTTTATAAGGGTGTGGAGACCTCTCTCTAGCAGACGCGTTTTAAGAAACTTGAGGGGAAGTCCAAAGAGGACAATATCTAGCAGATGCATACTTAGAGGTCTTAAACAGGTTCTTATAAAAACTAGTTCTTTTAGTCTATAATTTTCGGGGTACGGATTGGTTCGAATCAAAAGTATCAAATAAGTAATGGTAAATTTGAAGACCTAAGCAAAAACTAGAAGAAGAGTGATCACACCTTTGCATGAATGAACTTCTCCTTCACTGATATTGGATCAGAATGATTAGGTTTGCTGATAGAAAGCATATGCTGTTTATCAGACTTGTACAAGCTTCATCACAAAAAGAACAGCTAAATGTTAGCAGAACCAAATAAAAGAAAACTATATATATCGAACGTTGTCTTGACAAACGTATGACTTAATATCGTAGTTCATTTACCCTGTCGTTACAGGATCGACCGGAACGGCACTTCTGGATTGCAGCATCTCCTCCCAAACCGAGTTCGCAAAGGTATTTCCGAGGGATTGAAACAAACTGATAACTGAAGGTTCCCACACTTTGACATCCAATGTAAGGGATCTCACCTACACAGTTATTAGCTCCTGATTACATGGACTACAACACGTATACCGAGTCAATTACTCTAACAAGCCCATCGCTAGCAGATATTATCCTCTTTGGACTTCCCCTCAAGGTTTTAAAACGCATCTGCTAGGGAGAGGTCTCCACACCCTTATAAAGAATGTTTTGTTCTCCTCCCCAACCAACGTGGGATCTCACAATCCGCCCTCCTACGGGGCCAGCATGGCGAGGACTCATTCCCTTCTCCAATCGACGTGGGATCCCACAATCCACCCTCCTTCGAGGTCTAACGTTCTTACTAGCATACCGCCTCGTGTCCACCTTCCTTTGGGGCTCAATCTCCTCGTTGGCACATCGTCTGATGCCTGGCTTTGATGCCATTTGTAACGGCCCAAGCCACCACTAGCAAATATTGTCCTCTTTGGGCTTCCCCTCAAGGTTTTAAAACGCGTCTGCGAGGGAGAGGTTTCCACACCCTTATAAAGAATGCTTCGTTCCCCTCTCCAACCGACGTGGGATCTCACATAAATTGCCCTTTGTAATGGCATCATGCTTCCCTTTCAGTAGAAGAGCACCCAAAGAATACACTACAACAGGATAAAATGCAAGAAAAACAAAAACAGGTTCTGACATACCTTTGATATATGAACACCAAGATTACGATGAACACCAGAACATTCAATACAAACAAGAACCCCAAGATTCAAAGATGCCCAGTCGGGTTCAAGAGCTCCACAATCCGCACACTTATCATTACCGCATACTTTACGAAGTACGTCTATTGGCTTCTCAATTCTCATCGCTGATCGTTGCTGTTGCAAATTTCTTGAAGGGCGTTCCATATGAGAAGAATTAAGGCTTCTTTCAGATGCATATTCTTCAACCGCTATCTGATCCAAGTCTGAACTTTCAAAAGAACTACTCTCGCTGGTAGATCTGTTATGAAAACTTCCCATGGGACTACCCGCCGCAAGACACTGACAGGCCGAACAAAAATTATACGAATAATTGTTAACAATAATATTTGAAAAACTCGAGTCAAACACGAAAACGGCAGAGCAAATACCCTCTCTGGAGCCTGAGAACTTAGTAATGAAGCAATAACTCCCGTTATTTTTTCAATCCAATCCATTTGATCAAGTGCACTCTCTGCCTGCACTAACATGCAGAAATAGATTTATAGAATATTCTTTCATACAAAAAATCCAGAAGTGAAGCATCAATCTACAGCCTAAACTATCCCCTAAATCGAACCTGCAAAGTATAACTCTTGGTTGGTGAAATGATGCGGAAGCAAAACCGAAGATCGGACTGGTCCGCATCAACTTTGATCGTCGAAGTGAGCAGGTTAACTGTATGATGAGCTACAGATTTCTCATCATGCACCCCACCCTGATAATGGGAAGAAAGCCAGCGGCTCAAAAGGCCAGAACCAAGCTCTGAACTATTCCTCTGACCAGCTAGTTGTCCTAAAGATGCCTAAAATAAACGCCATATACACGCGAAGCAAATTCAGAATCTACTGCGTAACAGAGGGAAAAAAGACATCCGGCTCATGACAAACATGATTTAATTACTCACAGATGGTTTGCTGCACTGCTTGCGGTAATAATACAGCAATCCTCGACTATCAAGAACAAAAAATCTTCTTTTCCAGTCGCCTCTCAAGTTCGAAGAACGCTTTGAGAGATAACCTTGTCGAATGGTTTGAACCTAAATTATGGATGAACATAAAATTACTGCATCTTGCACCTTTGGAGATCAGTGATATAATGCAAATGGACACGCAAAAATATGTCGAACCTTTCCTTTTGCAGCAGATTGCATAACTTC